GAGGGAGAGGAGGAAGAGGAGGAGGATCTAATGCCAGAAGTAGGTCTCTTGCCGAAGGCTAACCCCCATCGAATCATTGTTGGAATCTGTTTCCCTGCTGGTTTAAGTCACGTAGATGAGGTCCCCTTTATTCCTCTGCCGCTGTGCTTCCTCAGCTGCCTCTGATTTTGAAGAGCAAAGCCCTTCTGCCCCTAGGGTTAGAAGTGTGATTGCTTCTCCGTTGTCCACATAGGTGCAGCTCTTTCTGAATATCTAAAATCTGTTCAGTCAGAAATTGCTACTTTCCCAAGCACTCTCTCCCCCTCTTAAGGAATTAAGTAACCGTGAAAACTGCCCTGCTTTCTGAGAGGTGACTGTGTAGTGACCTCAGAGCCGCCTCTTGGCCTTGACTCCACAGAGAGTGGAGAAATTCATGGCCTGCTGTGATGAAACAGGGTAAAAACGGAAAGGAAATAAATGATATTTTCCTACTTTTAGGAGCCTATTACAAAAATAGAAGCTGAAAGTTAAAACAAAACAAAACAAAAAACTGAAGAAGATTCTCAGCTGTGAGGTGAGCATAGATTGAAATATCCCCTAAGAACTTTGGGTTCAGGGGGCGTCTGGGTCGCTCAGTGGGTTAGGCCTCTGCCTTCAGCTCAAGTCATGATCTCAGAGTCCTGGGATGGAGCCCCGTATCAGGCTCTCTGCTCCGAAGGGAGCCTGCTTCCTCCTCTCTCTCTGCCTGCCTCTCTGCCTACTTGTGATCTCTGTCTGTCAAATAAATAAATAAAATCTTAAAAAAAAAAAAAGAACTTTGGGTTCAGGAAAACCATCCTTGCAACTTTTCACAATATCCTGAGTGTGAGATGTTGAAATCCTTAATAAATACCATCTTTTAATTCAGGACAGCTGAGTCAACAAATGTGACTGTCACTCTTGGTTTCCTCCTCCTTGCCATCTTGCAAGTAAGAGGAATTTTCAGTGAGGTCCCCTGAAATCCTTCCTGGCTAACCCTCAATGGCCTTGGCCTCTAGGCTCGATATTGCTTCCCTGGATGGCACGCCATTTCAAATATTTTGCATACTTGCCTACTAGTTATTTAAAAACCAAAGCAATCGAAGCAACCAACCTATGACCCCTGCTCTTGCAATGAGAAAACACAGCTGCTCTAGGAAGCCTGTGAATTTCCATCGATACCGTTTTCATGGTTGCATTAAACAGTGCTATTTCCCTGCTGGAGCTGGGACAAGCCAGACACCAGGCAGCTTGACCGTGAGGGATTGAGAGGTAATAGGCTGGCTGAGAAGCAGGGCCACGCTCCTCATGCCGGGGGACTGTGTGCAGCTGGACTTAGCACACATCTGATGAGATGTCACACTTTCAAAAGCACTGGGGAGGCATTTAACTCAGGCCAGATCTCTGCTGCGTGAGCTCCCTTTCCCCAGTCGGTGTGTCTGCAGTGAGGGCTGAATTTATAAAACACCACAGTGAGGCTGGCAGGCTGACAGCCAGTGGGAACTGGAAAGGGAGGAGGTGAGATTGTCTGTGTTGTTGGGACCTGGTGGAAGTGGGCTTGGCCTCATCTGTCTCTTGCATTAAGGTGATGCTTAGGGGGTACTTTGGACGTGAATTACTTAGGGAGCGTCCTGGCAGCTGGTTCTGAGCAAAATGTAGAATGCGAAGATGCGAAAAAGCTAGATATCCCCGGATACCATGTTTTAACAGGGAGCTTGCAAATATACTCTTTATAGCTTTGCTGCCCAGCCTGGAAAGTGACACACGGTAGAAGTTTCAGACAAGGAAAGACAGGGTACTAGACTCACACCGAGAGAGACGATTGTCCAGGCCCCCATGCTGTCATCCTTGTAGGATCCTCCGCTCTCATAGGACGGTCCCTTAGTGCTTGCCTTGAGTATTGCAAAAACCGTTAACCTCGGTCCTGTCTCGGGTTTTTTCTATTCCGTGCTTCCGGCTGCAAACACACCGGGCTCTGTGCTGGGGCTATGTGTAGAGAGGCTGTCTCTTCCCTTAAGGCTCGGTAGCGCGTGGGGAAATCACCAGGAAAGGGACAATTAACTGCAATTCTAGAAGAATTGCCAAAGACAGGGAATAAAGTTCTGAGAGACTCTCAATCATTTTTTTTCTTTAGTAAGCCCCTTAAGGTTATTAACTATTGATTTTAAAATCAGAAAGGTAGTTTCTTGATTTGTAAAGAGCCTATTAGAGTCTTAAGAGAAGTGGGGTTTATGGTCACCCATAGGCAGTGGTAGATAAAAACAATCATCTCTAATTTATAAATTGGGAGCAAGGCATTCAAGGCCATGCATCAAAATATATATAAGTATATAAATACATGTCATTTATCATAAGCACATACATTTCTAGAGCTTACCAGAGGAATTCTAACTTAAAATTTCTCTTAAGCCTCTCTACTTATATTAATATAACTCAAGACAACTCTTCCCTTGTACTCATGGTTCCCTTAAATTTAATACATGTCTACTAAATACGTATTTCCATGCGAATGTCCATGGCAGGCACCAGCAGTGAAGTGAAGAGGGAAGGAGAACGGGCTGGGAGGACCAGTAGCAACACAGCTCTGGCCAGGAAGACAGAACCTCAGTTTTGGGATGAACTGATTCTCATTCTAGCCTTTCTATTAGGATCTGATGAATCCTTTAAATACATTTTTCATTAGATGCCCAGATAACCAGAAGACATATGGTGCTACCGTTCCACTGGCATTTATGAACAGAAGCAGCTGGTAAGCAGATTGAAATTTTTAAAAAGGGAACAAGAGAGCCAAAGGGGATCGAAATTGTTATCAATCAGTCCTGAATTCTTCAGCCTTCATGCAGGTCTTGAACTAGCCAGAAGGGGTTGAAAGAGTACGCAGAACTGGCTTTGTAATCTGGCTGGGAGGGTGTCACCTGTGACAGGGACAGATGGGATCTTCTTTGGGCCCAGGAGCCTCCATTATGACAATATATATGAACAGATCCTGTTTCTAGAGGCAAAATGATGTTCAAGAGGCTGCAGGGAAGACGGGAGGATGCTTGTTGGCTGTGTGGGTCATGGGAGGGGGTCGTGGAAGGTTGTACAGATTGATGAGACTGCCCGTGTGTTGCTCTCTTAGTTTTCAGAAGCAGTTCACGTCTCGTTTTGTAAATTTCAAGCCATGGCGACTACACTGGCTCAAGCCCGATCAGCCAACTGGAATGATTCACACCGTCATTAGGAGTTGATTTTTTTTTTCCCTCAACAAACTAATTTTAAACTATTAGGCTCCGTTTTTGTACCTTGATTTTCCTCCCATTTTAGGCAAATTCCGCAAGACTTCTGGAACCATCTCTGTTTCATTTGAAACCCATGTTCTGATAAACATATTGTTGTGGAATGTTGAGCAGGTACTAAGTGTTGTGTGAGGCGTTTTGCATTTACCATCCAATCTGAGTCTTGTCGAGGGAAGTAAGGCTCAGAAAGGGTAGACGAGATGCCTGAAGGTTTGCCGAGCCATCAAGCAGCAGAACCAGGATTTTAATCCCAGTTTCTCTTACTCCAAAGCCATTCTCTGACTCTTGCCATTCAGTATTGGAGAAGTCATAACTACTGAGGTCTTTCCAGGACCCCAATGTGATCGTAGACAAAGATCACCAAAGGTTGTGGATTCAAATGCTGAAAAGGAAGAGGTCTCATTTTATGAAGGATTGGGTAGCCCTCAAAGGATTCAGCATGAGCGTTGGACTGAATTTTCCATCTTTGTAGGGAGGGAAATCAGGGTAGTGCTACCTTAGGGCTCCTGGAAGTTTGACTGCAGGGAACGGGGTACAGAGATCAAGGCTTCCTTGGACTGCGTTCTTTGACTTGAGTCCTACAGCTAAATGAAGAAACTGCCAAAGTTTCAACTCCTGCCAGCTCTGGAAAATGTTTCATTCTCCTCCAAAGCCAGGTTTTAAACACATAGTGAGCAATCCTAAAAATGAAGATACAGCAATCATTCTTTTGAAAGGAATGAAATTTTAACATCCCCTGACCAAAAAAAAAAAAAAAAAAAAAAAAAAAAAGTGCTCCATTAAGCCACTGAAATAAATAAAATGGTCAGCTGATATCTTTATAAATCATCCAAGACAGTGTTGCCGGCCTCGTTCCTCTTCATCCAGAGGTCCAGACAGGCAGCTTCATTTCCTTAGCTCTCAGTCTTTCTAAGGAGGGGACACTATTAGGACTGGTGCCTAATGGAGACCGGAGAAAGAGTCCCACTCTCCCAAGCCCTGCCCAAAACATGCAGGGATGGCCCTAGTCTGTGTTTTCTGCTGCTTGATTTTGAGAACAAGTCACTGCTGACAACGGCTGACACACTTTGTCGGTGCAAGTGATCACAGGATTTTGTTCTTGCCGAGGGTCCCGCTTCCTCCAATGACTCATGTCTCACCCTTTTATCCTTCCAAGTCTTTAAATAGTTCCTCATTCAGTCCTCACACTGATTCCACGGGGTAGAGGTTATAATCCTCAGATGATGAAACGAAGGCTCAAGGTCATAGAGCTTGTAAGACACAGGGCAGGAATGCCAACTCAGGACCGTCTGGCCCCAGAGGCAGGGCATCATAACCATGACACAACACCTGTCTTTTCCAGCCCTCCCCAATGGGACTCGGGAAGGTGTGGCAGCCCACTTGGCACAGAACCAGTAACAGGGCACACACTCAATTCTTGTTTTTCATTCCAACTCCCTGCATTCAAAAAGAAGCTGATACTATTTATATTTATTTATTTATTCATTCCTTTTTAAAAATGAGTTTTACTTTTTATGACAGTTTTTACATATACAGAAAGAGTATGAAGATGGTAGAAAGAGTTCCACATACATGTCACCCAGTTTCCCCATCATTAACATTTTACATGAGTCTGGAACTTCTGTTACCATCGATGAGCAAATATTGATGCATTAGCAAGAACTGATGCCTCTATTTTATTCAGTTTCCTTGGTTTTTACCTAATGTCCTTTTTTTCTGTTTCAGGATCCCATCCAAGATACCACATCACCTTCACTAACTATGACTCTATGGGCTTCTCTCGGCTGTGACCATTTTCTAGCCTTTCCTTTTGATGGCCTGGACACTTTTGAGGAATGGCGGTCAGGTACGCTGTAGGATGTCTTCCTGTTGGGATTTGTCTGATGTTTTTCTCAGACTCGTCTGTTATGGGTTTATGGAAGGAAGGTCCCTGCAAGGAAACTGCCATTTTCATCAAGGTCTTATCAGGGATAGATCCTATAATATAAATCTTTGCTGTGGAAATTGACTTTTATCGCCCAACTGAGGTGGTTTACAGCAGGTTTCTTCACTGTAAAGAACCCCCCCCATTCTTTATTGTACTCTTTGGAAGGAAGTCACTGCACAGCCCATGTTTAAGGGATGCAGAATTAAGCTCCATTTCTCTGAAGGTGGAATATCTACATAAATAATTCGACATTTTTCCGCACAGGGGATTTGTCTCTTCTGCTCATTCATTTATTCATTTATTTACATCAGCATGGATCTGTGGATATTTATTTATTTTTGACACAAAAGTTTATCTTGTCTACTGCAGTAATAAGAAAGTAGTTTAGTATAGCTGTGACAAGCTCTAGTTACATAGTGTAAGTTTCTGGTTATTCTGAAGAGACAGTAGAGCATCTAGAGGGCACGGTCTATCTGTGGGCTGTTTCCTGATTCACGGAAGTTTGGTCCTGGAAAGTATGCTTTACTTACCAACAAGGAAATGTAGTACCGGTATTACAATACCACTGGTCCAGTTCATCTCACACCTGCTCCGTTTCCCCACAGGGCCCCCACCTGGCCAGATACCAAGGGAGCCTAGTGTGTCCATTCCTGACCTCAGTTAAGACAAGCAGTTTACACCTCTGAGCTCCCACCCCAACCAGGATGCTCTCAACTTTGCAACATAATGAGGACAAGTAAGCCATGATCTTTACTTTTAAAAGATTGAGTGATTGATTGATTGATGTATTTGAGAAAGAGGGATGGGGGGAGTGGTAGGGTGAAGGGCAGAGGGAAAGAATCTCAAGCAGACTCTCCCCTGAACATGGAGCATGATGTGGGGCTCGGTCTCATGACCCTGAGATCATGACCTGAGCTGAAATCACCAGTGGCCCCATGATCTTCCTTTTAAAGCACAGAGGAAAGAACCACATAATCTTTGATTTCCTGAATCTCCTTGAGGAATGAGAAGGATGTGGTGTTCTTCTTTTCCCTTAAGTACCTACTATGTTGTGTGAGGCCCATTTTGGTAAGAAGAACCAAATATATCTGGGCAGGAACGTTTAGTGTGATTTGTGCAGACTTTCAAATTGAAATGGTAAAACCTTGGGATCTGTACCAGCCCAGCAAGGGAGAAACCAATTAGTAAATCTTGGCAGCAAGAGTGAAATCTTATTCACCTACCCTTGCTGTCCATATTAATCATCTCTGCCACATACTGTCGTGAACGGCATCTCATCAGTGTGTTCTAACACTTGCCAGCACAGGGTGGAGTGGAACCCTTCCCTTCCCTCTCTCCCAAGGCTTTGGTAGAGAAAAATAGCTTGTATGAGGAAACAGAGATTTTCATTTGGAAAATCTCCATGCAGGGAGCCTGGATGGCACAGTCAGTTGGGCGTCTGCCTTCAGCTCAGGTTATGGTCTCAGGGTCCTGGGATCAAGCCCCGCATCAGGCTCCCTGCTCAGTGGGGAGTCTGCTTCTCCCTCTCCCTCTGCCTGCTGCTCTGCCTACTTGTGCTCTCTCTCTCTCTAATAAAAAAAAATTAAAAAAAAAGAAAATTTCCATATACATGTAATTCTTACAAGAATAGTCTTGCCTTTCAAGTGTCATCATTTCAGTAAGCTTACTCTGCTGATCTTGGACTTCCCCAGGGTGTCAGGGATTGCCACTCGCATTTCCTTTCTTGTCTGACATGCTCCAGGAATGAAAATTTTTCGTATCTTTATTTAAATGACATACTCTGCTTTTCTGGGACACATAAACTGTGGTCTGGTCCAGTGATTCAGACAGTCCTGTAGAGGCAGAAAGCTGGCAGATAATACTTGGATCTATTGGTGGAAGGTTGACCTTCAAAGAATGACGTGGGGTACCTCGGTCAACCTGCACATGGGGAGTGGAGGGTTCTATCTAACAGTGCTGTCGGGCAGTATCGACTAGTGGGGAACCACTGATACATAAGTGAGAGAGATGAGAGTTGCAATGCTGCTCTTTCCATTAGCAACCAAATGACCTTGGGCAGATACTGAACCTCTGTGAATCTCTGTTTTGAAATGCCGACTTTGTGATTTCTGTATGGATTGAGACAAGGTGTATCAGATGCCGGAAGCGTGGGAGGGGTCCATGTATGGTGACATTCTCCTCAGAGTCATTGGCATTATACTCTCTGTGATTACAGTGCCAAGATTCTGAAATCCACATGGTCTAGTCCAACTCCTCTCACTCTGGGCTGGCTTCAGTAAGGAATTAACAAAGGAAAGTGTCTCTTCTGACCTACTGTCAGCGCACCATCATTCTGAATTATTTTCCATGGTAGGCTAATTTGTTCAGGCACATTCTCTCTCCCTCCTGATTTTATTTATGTCCAGCAATGAACATTTATAAGATCAGTGGCCCTGAAAGTGATGTATTCATGGCTCAAATAAAGAAATTGGTATTGCTACATCAGGATTGAAACCAGGACCATGACTTCACCACTTGGAGCAGAGCTAAATTATCCTAGCCAGTACTGGCCAGTAGTGGATGAATGTCTCTGAGCCTGTAGAAGTTTCACTCACTTTCACCCCTTGGCATGCTTCCTCTTCCTCAGTCCCCCCAGAAACAACACAAGCTCACTTGTTCTTATTGATGTATAATCTCTACTGGATCAAGTTTAAAACTGCTTTAAGGTCTTACCTGATACACAACCACAGCCTCTCAAGGCTCGTAGAGAGCTCCCTAGTACTTCAGTCCTAACTATCCCTATAATAATTTGGGGGATCACACAGAGACAGCTGGTGTGTGTTTTTCATTTTCTGCTGGGTTGGACTACTTGGCATAAAAATGTTTTTGACTTCCATGTAACATAACATTTCTTAGCAACTTCTTCATATTTAAGGCCAGGGGCCTTTTTGTCATGACCTCTTTTGTTTGACCTCCAAACTTTCCAAGCGAGTAGATACTCTGACGAGTTCACTCCTTATTCTGTTTGTTCTCTGTCTCTTGTCTGCACCGTGATTCTGAAGTTGCTCCCTGGGAAGCAACAGTAGGTGCTCTTCTGGAGTCAATGTTAAGAATAATTCATCTTCTTAGTTGGGGGTAGAGGCCTGGTCTTCTGATGCTTTTGCTACTGAAGAGCCTCCTGGCTTTCTTACCTTCGCTACCTGTTCTCTCATGCAACTGGGTCCTATAGGAACGAGGGTGTTACATAAGAAGCTGGGCTGTGTGCCATCTGCCTCCATGACAAGGTGACAAGGGTAGAGAGGCCTCCTGAGGCAAGCTAAGATGGCTTCATTCTTTTTCTGGTGGCTAATATTTGGACCAAGTAACTTCCCTGCGCTGGGTTTACGTGATCTTATGGTGATTCTGTTCTTGTCTCCCTTGTTAGAAACAGAGATCCCACTCAATGGAAAGCATTCTATTTTAACTTTAACATTGTGTGCTGGGAGAAAGACTCCATTGGGGATCGTGTCTGTTCTATTTTAGTCACTTTTCACTTGAAATATGAACCATGTTGGGGCGCCTTGGTGGCTCAGTGGGTTGGGCCTCTGCCTTTGGCTCAGGTCATGGTCCCAGGGTCCTGGGATCGAGCCCCGCATTGGGCTCTCTGCTCAGCGGGGAGTCTGCTTCCCCTCTTCTCTCTCTGCCTGCCTCTCTGCCTACTTGTGATCTCTGTCTGTCAAATAAATAAATAAAATCTTTAAAAAAAATATGAACCATGTCATGGGTGGTGGTATCATGCTAGGGCAATGGCAGCAAAGAACCTCAGAGCTTGCAGGAAATATGCTGTGTAGCAACTCTTCCTACGTTTATTCAACAAAAACTTACACGGGCACTTTTGGGTCATGGGCAGATGATGAGGGTAGAGTCATAATTTCTGCCCTTCAGTAAAGGAAATAGACTTTTCTAGATGAATTAGGATGATTACAGTGTGAAGTGCCAGGACAGAGGAACGCACACAGGTTGCAGGAGTGGGAGGAAGTGCTCCTCGGTGCTGGTGCTGTTGCTGGAGGGAGGGTAGGGTCTGGGGATGAAGGGAAGCCTGAACTGGGTCTTAAAGAATGAAAGGAGCTACGCAAAGACAGAGGGAGCGGGAGAAGACGTTCCAGACAAAAAGCCAACAGGAACAGAGGCCTGAGGTGTGAAAGTATGTAACGTGTTCAGGGAATTAGAATGTGACGTAATGCAGGCTTTGGGAAGGACATGAGGAGGCAGAGCTGGGCACGAGCAGGTCTAGGAGGACCATCTGGGCTTTATTTGCAAGTTTGTACTTACCTTGTTGGCAGTGGGGAACATTAAGGAGTTTTAAGCAAGTAAGCTCCATAATTATAATTGAGCTTGAAAAAGGTCATTTAGTTGACATGGTATTGAGTGGAAGGAGCGTGGTTAAAGGGGTCTCTTAGGAAGTACCAGTTATAGCTCAGGGAGGGATGGAAAAAAGAATCTTTAATGAAGGCAAAGGTGGTTAATAGTTTGGAGAAGTATTTAGGAGATAAAATTAATAGGATTTGGGAGCTAATTGGATGTATGTGCATGACAGCACAGAACTGGGAATCCAAGAAAAGCCCTGGAGTTTGGGTGGCCATTGCTGCGTGTCATGATGGTCCCATGCTTCCGATGGTCCCATGCTTCCACGGGTTCCATTTTACAGTGAGCACTTATTCCACAGTCAGAGTCTGTCTGGGCATCTGTCTGAGCGTCTGTCTGTTTTGCTCAGCATAAGGACAGAATGGTTGGAGGTGTTTTCTTCTCAAAAGAATATGAGGCAAACATTTTTCATCTGAATTTTTCATTCCTTTTTTAAA